AGTGCTGATAAATCTAAAGTGTAATTCTACACATTTTGTTCAGCATACCAATTTTAACGCCTAGTTGCTATGCATGAAAATGCTTATTTGATAAATCAATCAAACATATAATTAAACAATTATTCTACTTTAAAGTTTGTAAACTCAAAACTTAAAGCATGGTGCTACCAAGACCACTTAAGGTTTTGATTTCAAGGGAAAGCAAAATGTAAGTCACATTGGTCTAATAAAAAATAAAGAAAATGTAACGATATTTATTTTGCAGACACTAAACTTTTTAAAAACATAAATAATGAATTGTTGATAGTGTGCTTCAGACAAGTGAGTGGGTTTGAAAAACCACCTGTAGAATACATTCTCTTTCATCCGACACTTAAACCAGACTCTCTTAACCCCCATTTGTTACCCCCCGTGGCTCACAAGGACATAACAAAAAGAGGGACACCCAATAAAGTCAAAATTATAGAACATAATTTATTAAAGAAACAATTTTAAACAAAATAAAGCAAAAATATGTAAATTGTAACGACGGGAGGAGAGAGTGACAGATACAACTGGAGGTAAGATCCAATATGCAGGTTTATTTAGCGTCAGGCAAGCAGTGGTCAAATCAGGTACAAACAGGTATGTGCAGGCAAATCCAGAATCGTAGTCAATATACAAGCAATAGGTCATAAGGCAGGCGGCTAAACAGGATAACAAGGAATACCAGGCTAGGGTTTACACTCGGAGAAATAAAACAGGGAGAAACGCGTTGTAATGTCACACTAGGGTAAACAAGACTCGGCAAACTGGATGGGTTCATGAATGGCTTATGTATAGTAAGCTATCAGTCTGTGACAAGGTTCAGGTGGTGAATGTAATCAGGGTAGATGAATGAACAGGCGTGCGTGACTGGAAGAAGTGCATGTATGAAAGCGTAGTCCTGGGATATGCGGAAGTGTAGTCCTGGTATAGTGGAAACCAGCGATATCCGGAAAGCGATCGCTGGTTCTCGTAACATAAATGTAGCGGTCAGGAATCAGTAGTGTTTGAAATGCATGTGTATGCATGACTATGTAATGTAGCGTAGCAATATTGGATGTACAAAAATAATTAAATATAAAACAGTCCAGTCCAATGAAGCAGCCAACTTTAAAATGCCAGCCATACAATTTTTGAAAGTCCAAATAAGTTAACGACAGGTGTGTCCCATAGCAATTAGGTTTGAATGTGGAGCCAACTCTAAATCTTGATCAGAGCAACTCCACTAACTCATAGGACGTCACACATCACTCAACATCTCTTAAATCAAAACACTGCGCATTTATAAAGAGAGATTCACACAGGTGAGTGGGTTTGACAAACCACCAGTATAAACACTCTTTTCTTTCTCTCTCTCTCTCTTTCTTTAAAAAAAAAAAGAAAAAAAAAAAAAAAACTCCCCCACCCCACTTCCCAAACTTTAGCATTAATTCTCTGAGCACAAGTGGAGGACTTACTGTACGTGTGACTGTTGCAAAGTAGTGGAGTCATGCTTCAGCACTTATTTAAAAAATAATTATTATTATAAATGTTAATATTGTGCCTCAAAGGTGAGTGGGCTTGACAAACCAACTGTAGAAAACAAACTCTTTCATCTCTCTGTCATTGTGACCAATACTTGAAGCAATTTTACACATTTGCACCAGACACTCTTACAATCATTCAACATCCCAAGAAAAAAAAAAAAAAAAGAAAAACTGTGCTTTTATAGCCATTTTCATGCAACGTTATCATTAAATATCCATGAAATTTCCAGAACGACTTGACTGGTAAATTCAAAAGCACACTGGCAAGGGCGTTCCAGAATTCATCATTTATGCAGCTGCTTTGGTCCCAGAGACATCCAAAGGCAGAAGCGCAAACCGCAGCTAAATGTTTACACATTGACTACATTACAAAATCTGTGGATGGATAAGTATTGTGAACAACTTCAATGCAAACATATGGACAGACACAGTCTCGCATGTCGAGATGTACATATGTTTCTGTGCTAGCACTCACCAGAACACGTGCACGAGCGCCACACAGCTGACCTCGCGGCTTGCAGGTAAACTTACAACAGCTTGTCATATGCATTTTATCAATTTTTTTTCCACAGCTGGCATTAATAATTAACATAGAAACATTATCTGACTAACAGGAAGAGGTGTGAACCTATACTGGTCTCACGGTTCGGTTACGATTATCATGCCTTCGATTCGGTTCAATTCGATATTTCGATGCATCACGAAGCATTGGCGATGCATTCCATATACAGTGTTATATTTTAGAGGAGAGGCTATAACATGCTGTCTGTATAAACACACAGACACACAGCACCACACTGTCTCTCATTCAAACACAAACATAGACAGCACCAAAGAAACAAACACACACACGCACACGTGCACACGCACACACGCACGCACACGCACACACACACACACACACACACTTAAGCCCTCGCAACAGGGAGAGCTCGCGAAGAGCGGAGCAGAAAAACGAAAAAAAAAAAAAAAAAAAAAAGCACTTTTCCGATGGTCCCTTTCTGAGAGCTCCTCTCAGCTTGAGCTATCCCGGCTGAACACATATTGCGAGGGCTTAAACGGAGCAGTGCTCGTAGTGTGGAGCGAAATAAAAGAAAGACAGCTGTGAAACATAACCAGCTTTGTCTTTTTGTAGGAAACACACGTTTAGATCTTTTTAGGGTAAGAGGTTTTTGAGGTATTGCCGTCTATAACTGAATGTGTGTCAAGAATATCGAAAACAAAACCAACTGAACCGCGCTCATTTCTTGCACCCTCCTGGATATACAGCGCCCTTAGAATTTGCCTATGGTGCCTATGCCACGGACCGGCCCTGAGTTGGCTGAGTGTTGTAAATACCGGCGCTCGCCTCCCTCACGACAGAGAGTATAGGAGATAAATGACGTCAGTATATAATAACCGGTCATGATTATTACTGAACAGATACCGAATTGTCCGCGTCTGCATCGCGTTGCACCAAAGAAACAATTAATTTTGACACTCCTACTAACAGGCAGCTAAATGCTTCAAGAAAAGTATTCAAAGGCTTTTATTTTCATAAACAACACAGATGTGAATGTGCCTGAATTGCCTGGACCGCGCTGCAAGAAATCTGGTTGGGTCCCGCGGCTCCCGCTGTACCACGGAATGCATACCTTTAATCCAGAAGTATCGCTGTAACAGGCAAGGGGTAGAGGAACAGTCACGCCAGCAGGTCAAAATTTGCACAGTGAGAAAGAGTTTACTTTGATTCTCTCAATCGCAGTGAAATAGAAACTTCTACTGTAAGTGTCAGTGAAAGACTGTCCAGCAAACACACATGCAGTGAAATTGTGCAGTTTCTGGGCTATATTTTGACGGGACATGCGCAAAGCGCAGGGCGCAAACGCTTTCAGGGCGTGTCAGAATCCACTTTAGCTATTTTAAGGACAGAAAAATCCGCTTTGCGCCGTGGCGCATGGTCTAAAAGGGTCGAGTTTATTTTCTTAACAAGTTATATATATATATATAAGTTAATAAGTTGTTTTGAGAATAAACCAATCAAAGCCTCATCTCCCATTCCCTTTAAGAGTCAGTTGTGTCGCGCCATAGCGCATTTGCTATTTAAATGACGTAAAGTAAGTGAAAGTGGAAAAAACTGAGCATTTCACTAGCAAGAAAACAGTTAAACAGAGCATCTACAGCGCGAGAATGAGAGATAATTATTAACTTTCACTTTCGCTCTCGTGGATAGGGAAACCTTGTACACACAGACATCAATTAGCCTATAAATAATTAATTTTGTTTTTTAAACGCAAATATTTGTTTCAAAACTATTTCGAAATTCAGTTCTAATTTCCAGCAAACGAATAAATGAATAATAATAACAAAGTGTGCTCAAAAACCTGAGTTATATCCAAATACACATGCTGTGCTCCATATGGTCTAAAACCTGACAGGTGGACAAATCTAAGCTTGTTTTTAATAAAACAAATATAAATATGGATATAATAAATAATACTGCTAATAATAACATTATACAAAAGCAAATTGAATGAACTATAAAAGCCTCCCGAGATGAAGAAGGCATGACGGCAGTGGTTTTTAAATTCATGTAGGCTAGAAAATTAAATGTTTTGTAATATTTTAATTTTTTATATTTATATCCTATATACATCCTTATTATATCCTATATATATCCTTATATTATTATATCCTGCTTTTTTAGACCAGAACGCCTATGGGCGCACATATGAGTGCAAATGCCTTTGCTATTTAAACAGCATTGCACAAAACGTCAAAACGACTCTTGCGCCAAGCTGAAACTAGCAAACAACTATTGCGTCGCACCTTGTGCCACATTGTGCCGGGTGTATGATAGAGCCCTTTGCGTTTTTAAGTAGCTGGAGTGTCGTAAATACCCGCGCCATAGTAAGCTATGGCAGCATATGATATAATAAATAACGACATTACTTAATAATCGATTATGATTATTACTGATCCGATACCAAACTGTGCACCGGAGCAACAATTAATTTTGACATCATCTGTTATTTTACACCAGACACTTTCTTATCACTTAACAGCTCAAAAAGAATAAGAAACACTGTGCATTTAAGAAGTGAGCTTCAAACAGGTGAGCGGGCTTGACAAACCACCTGTAGAAACACACACAAAAAAAAAAGAAAGAAAATTCCACCTCAAAACTCTAGCATTACCTCTGAGCACAAGCAGGTTCTTTGTGGCATTTAGCATGTATTAAATTCTAAACGACTAATTGTCATTTAATAATAAAAAAAATATATGCAATCGTTTTCCCACTTCAACTTTCAAGTGCTCAACAGTTCTCTGTCTCAGCGCATGGTGGACGTACTGTACGTGTGACTGGTGCAAACGAGTCGAGTCATGCTTGGGCTCTTATTTACCTCTGGGTCGCCCTTGAGCCGTGAGTGTGTGACCACAGAAATCATCTCTCAGTGGTGTCAACAGCAATCCTCTCCTGCTCACTTAACGCCTCCCGCTCCTCCAATGTTCCTCTCATTCGCACCTCCTCCCCTCCTTCAGCACTTATTTTCACCCTTTATGCGTTCATGGCTCCCTAGATTTCCTTCCCGACAGCTCGCAACATCCCTCTCTCTCTCTCTTTCTCCCTCTCCCTTTTTCTCCGCCACCTCTCCTCACACACACACACACACATCTCTCTGCCTTTCTTCCCATCACACAGCCAGCTTCATCGCCTCTCATCGTCTGTGTCTGCCACACACACACACACACTCATAGTCATTCTCTGGCTCTCACACGTGTCAGTCGGCTCTCCTTCTGCGTGTCCTGCAGTCCGGCTGTGGTTCAGTCATGGAGCACAGCCACATCTTCACCGTGCTGACCACCAACTCCAGCTCCTGGAGCCCTCGCGGTTGCCCTCTCGGACAGTTTCCAGTCGTCTACTACAGTTCCTTACTGTGCCTCGGCCTGCCAGGTAAGAAACATGTTTTCATGTTAACAGTGCACAATGCATGCTCTTTTTCGCTTCGTCTGAAGTGCACAGGGGTCACAGAAGTGCATCGTTTCCAACATTCACCAATGATCAGTACAGGTTCATCAACAAATCCTCAATTTAGCTCAATTTAGCATGTTTTATGTATGATTTTGTGTGAAGTGCACAGGGTGAGATTGTTCCCATTTGTTATATTTGCAATCGATCAGTGCAGAATTCGGATTTGTATTCTTTAAATCTTGTCTGAAGTGTACAGAGGTCAATGTAGCGCATGAATCCCAATATTCACATTTGTGGACAATCAATACACAAATATGTGCATGAATATTCTCAAAATCGTGATTGTGTTTTAATGCATGGTTTTCTCTGAAGTGCACAGGGGTCAAACGTGTGCATCTGTTCCAATATGAACATTTTTAGCCAAATAACTATTTTATTTAAATGATGCATGTTTTTCTGTATAATTTATATGAAGTGCACAGGGTGAGACTGTTCCCATTTGTCATACACTCTAAAAAAAACATTGAGTTAACCCAATGGTTCAATTAAACATAGTTGGTGCTGTGTTGGGTTATTTTTAACCTTTTTTTAAGTTATTTATTTAATAACTCAACCAGTTGGGTTAAATATTTGGTGGTGTTGGGTTATTTTTAACCTTTATTTGGTTATTTATTTAACAACTCAACCAGTTGGGTTAAAAATTTGGTGCTGTGTTGGGTTATTTTTAACCTTTTTTTAAGTTATGTTTTAATAACTCAACCAGTTGGGTTAAAAATGTGGTGGTGGGTTATTTTTAACCTTTATTTGGTTATTTATTTAATAACTCAACCAGTTGGGTTAAATATTTGGTGGTGTTGGGTTATTTTTAACTTTTATTTTGTCATTTATCTAATAACTCCACTAGTTGGGTTACATATTTGGTGGTGTTGGCTTATTTTAAACCTTTATTAGGTTATTTATTTAATAACGCAACTAGTTGGGTTAAAAAAAATTGAATTTCAACAATCAACTGATTTGACTGACACAAAACAGCTGTATTAATATGCGTGTGTAATGCTGTTTTTGTGTTATAAAGTTTATTTAAGCTCTAATGCAATAATATTGTTGTTATTTTTTAACAAATTACCACCGTGCCATGTTTTTTTATATCAGTTTCACAATCCAAGACCATCTTTTAGAAGCGTTTGGATGTGGTTAAACTGTATTGTACACTGTGGACACTGAGTGAAGCCTGCTGCAGCTGCTGGACAGCCTCTACAGCACACAGACCTCCATATTCTGCTCATGGTTTTCTGCTTGCACAGTTTATAACCCATAGTTGGGAAGGTGCTATAATAACCTATAGTTGGGTTATATGTTGAGGTATTTTTAACCCAACTATTTTAACAGAGTATTAGCAATTGATCAGTGCAGAATTTGGATTCGTATTCTTCAAATCTTGATTTCTCAGTTGCGAGCTTTCATGCTTGATTTTGTCTGAAGTGCATGGAGGTGAAAGTATCACATAATTTCCAATATTTACATTAGTGATCAATCAACACAAATATCTGCATGAATATTCTCATAATCTGTTTTAATGTATGGGTTTCTCTGAAGTGCACAGGGGTCAAACGTGTGCATCTGTTCCAATATTAACATTTAAGCCAAATTTCTAATTTATTGAATCTCAAGTTAGCATGATGGGTGTATTTATGCATGATTTTGTTTGATGTGCACAGGCTGAGATTATTCCCCCTTGTCATATTTGCTATCGATCAGTGCAGAATTTGAATTTGTATTCTTTAAATCTTGATTTCTTGATGCACTTCAGACAAAATTTGGCACAAAAGCATGCAACTGAGGTGAAAATCATTCCCAATATTCACATTTGTGGACTATCAACACACAAATATTTGCATTGATATTCCTAAAATCTTGATTGTGTTTTAATGCATGGTTTTATCTGAAGTGCACAGGGGTCACAGAAGTGCATTTCTTCCAACATTCACATTTACAGTTGATCAGTCCAGGTTTATCATGCAAATTCTCCAATTCTCAGTGGAACATGATGCATGTTTTTATGCATTTTCTTAATTGCATGAGGTGAGATTGTTCCCATTTGTCATATTTGAAATCATTCACAGTTATTTGCTGTATTCTACAAATCTTATTTTCTTAGTTGCATGCTTTCTAAGTGCACTAAGGTGACAGTAGCGCATCATTCGCAATATTCACATTTATGGACATCAATACACAAATATTTGCATGAATATATTTAAAATCTTGTTTCTGTTTTAATGCATGGTTTCATGGTAAACATTGATAGTCAAATTTCAAATTCATGAAATCTCAATGTATGCATGTTTTTATGCGTGATTGATTGTTGAAGTGTCTGTGGGGTGAGAGATTTCTACACTGAGAAAAAAAAATGATATCTGCAAAACGGTTGCAAACAATTTTTATGTCGTTAATTTAAACAAATCACATTTAATAATGTTCAATTTAATTTGTTTGTTTAAATTCAGCCTAAATAAATTGTTTATAACCACTTAAAAAAAATTAAGTAAATACAAGGAATCATCTTTAAATCATTTTTTTTGTGTATTTGCAATAAACCAGTGCAGAATTTGCAAAATATTGATAATCTAGTGTAGCATACATGCTTTCAAATTTTGTGTCTGAGAGGTGAATGTAGTGCTATAATTCGGATAATTGTATTTTAAAGGGGACCTATCATCTAAAAATCACTTTAATAAACAGTCTAAACACAGTTGTGTGCCAACAGTGTGTGAATGTAACCAGCTTCTAAAGATAGAAATGAATGAATTCCATGTTTTATAATTACACTGTAAAAAAATTAATAATAAAAATCTTTAATTTTACGGTTTATTTCCGGCAGAAAAAAAACATAAAATAACAGCCGTTAAATTACAGAAATATACCATAAAATAATGGATATTAAATTACAGAAATATACCATAAAATAATGGATATTAAATTACAGAAATTTACCAAATATTTTATTTAAGGAAATTTCTGTTTCTGTAATTTAATATTAGTTATTTTAGGGTATATTTTAAAAATTACTGATTTTTTTTTTTTTTTTTTTTACAGTGTACACTTCATAAAAACAGTCTGCAGAAACACTTTGATCGACATTTCCTTTTTGTACATGTCATCAAAGGGACAAACTCCACCCATCAGTGATGATCTCTCTCTCTCTCTCTCTCATTAGCATAGACAGCCCTGAGTGAAAGGCAGCTGTCCGCTATTCGAGATTTCACCCAGTGATTGTCAGTTCATGCACATCATTTAGTGCGCAATGCATGTTTTAGTCTGAAGTGCACAGAGGTCAAAGTAGAGCACTATCCCCAACAGTGTTTCCATTCATTTTCTTAAAATCTTGATCATCTAGAGCAGGATGCATGTGCTAATACTTGACTTAGTCAGGAGTACATTACCAAGATTAAAAACACTTGTTGCCAATCAGTACAGATTTTCCATGCATATTTAAAATCTCAATCACTAAGCACATGCTTGATTTGGGTGCATCGTCTACAATATTTACATTTGTGGCCAATCAGAACAGTAGTTACATTCATATTCTTAAAATCTTGATCATCTAGTGCAGGATGCATGTTTTAATGCATGATTCATAAAGGTCATAGCAGTACATCACCATGATTAATAACATTTACTGCCAATTAGTACAGATTTCCATGCTTATATAAAATCTAAATTACTAAGAACATGATGCCTGTTTTCATGCACGAGTTTGTGGTGCACAGGGGTGAAGAGTGCATTGTTTACAATATTCACATTTATGGCCAATCAGTACATGCACATTTAGTACTTCATGCACATCTACAAACCGGTATTGAAGTGTCTTGTTATACAATAGACACGCAGCTGTAGTGATGAATTATGTAGTGATTTTACTAGGGTTGGGCGATGTTGACCAATCTGGCATTGTACGAAGTATAATGTAAAACATTGCGATGGACGATGGCATCATCGTCAATATTAAATATTAGAGCTGCACAACTAATATATAGCAAAGATGCACAATTAATGGTAAGAAGATCGCGATCTCGATTCGACCCCCTACACAATCTTAATCCAGCATTTCTACGATTTTCCCAATCATATTTTCAAGTTCAGGAGAGAAGAAAAGGCTGCTGCACTCAGTGACACTGACACCTCCAAATCACATAATGTATTTATAAGGTATAATTTACCTAAAAATGTCATGTTTGTCTTCATATAATGATGTTTTCGCGGCCGGGAAATCACACCTGACGAGCTGCTGAACGTGAGCTATTATCACAGAGAGTGCGCGCGCACGCTCTACTTAATGATAGACGTGCGCGTCTACTTTAGTGAACAGAACCTGCATATGTTGCGAGTAACTGGTAATACAGTTGTAAATAATATTCAGTTAGTGAGTGATCGTTTGGGAGCCGCGCGCGAAGTATGAACAAGCACTTAGCAGTGAAAATGAATCTGAAAGTGTGCACTTTATTTAAATGATCATCTCGCATTTTAGAGTTATGATTACGGCAAGCATTTGATGTTTTTTCTTTCATAGCGAGCCCACAGTTGTGCATGAAAATAAATGTTTACAATGTCAGTATAACTACGCTAGCCTATATATTGTTGAATATAATCTGATAATGACAAATGTCTGATTTCACCAGTGAATAAAATTGTCTAATATTACAGATTGCAAGCATATATCTCAAACATAATTATTCAACATCAGAATTATTATAAGTAGAATAGAATTATTTATAAAAAACCAGTAGACCTACACATAATATTATTATCGATGTTGTGCCATATGTTTGTTTTTACCATACCTTTATTTTACATCTACAGAATCGTGAGAAAATCGTGATCTTAATTTTGAGAAAGAAAAAAAAAGAAAAAAAATTGCTATTCTTATTTTAGCCAGAATCGTGCAGCTCTATTAAATATCAATTAATAAATAACAAATTCATTAA